TGGATGAGGAAAGATCAGATTCCTATGAGAAAAGATAAGCAAACCTATGGTAAACCATCAGATTCCTATGAGGGAAGATTCGAAAATGAATGGTAAACCATGAGATTCCTATGAGAAAAGATGAGAAAACCTATGGTAAACCATCAGATTCCTATGAGAAAAGATGAGAAAACCTATGGTTAACCATCAAAATCCTTTGAGGGAAGATGAGGAAACCACGTAGAAACCATCAAATTCCTATGAGGGAAGATTCGAAAATGAATGGTAAACCATGAGATTCCTATGAGAAAAGATAAGAAAACCTAGGGTAAACCATAAAATTCCAATGAGACATGATCAGAAAACTTCTGGTAAACAATCAAATTCCTATTTCGAGGGAAGATGAGGGAAACCACGAGGAGAAACCATGAGGGAATGAGGAAACCATCCATCAAATTCCTATGAGGAAACATTCGAAAATTAATGGTAAACCATACAAAAATCCAATGAGACATGATCAGAAAACCTTTGGTAAACCATCAAATTCCTTTGAGGGAAGATGAGGAAACCACGTAGAAACCATCAAATTCCTATGAGGGAAGATTCGAAAATGAATGGTAAACCATGAGATTCCTATGAGAAAAGATAAGAAAACCTAGGGTAAACCATAAAATTCCAATGAGACATGATCAGAAAACCTCTGGTAAACCATCAAATTCCTTTGAGGGAAGATGAGGAAACCACGTAGAAACCATCAAATTCCTATGAGGGAAGATTCGAAAATGAATGGTAAACCATCAGATTCCAGTGAGAAAAGATAAGAATACCTATGGTAAACCAAAATAGGAAGTAACCCTGGAAATTGTAATCCGAATTAAAAAGTAAAAGGGAGTAATAGCAAATTAGTGCCACCAAAAAAATGGGGATCCCAGAGGGGATTCGCTAATTAGGGGGTACATATCTATTATTAGGGGGGGAAATCAGCACGTAGAGGACTTTAGTATTGCCCCAAAATTTTCGGAGGGACGGGGATTCGCTAATTCGGGGGGTTTATTAATCCTGACTATATATTATATCCTTTGAAGTGTTGCTGTAGTTTACATTTCCTTCTTGAACTTGGTGATTTTCCAGGCCAAGAGGCAGCTAGCTGGAGCCGATGACATCTCTGAGAGCAGTGTGCGAAAGCTCTGTGAGGAGAGTCCGGTCATGCAATTTATGGCAATTTCGAAGAGGCAACATGATGACAACCATGAGAATTTGAGGTATATACCGTATACCCAATTCTCAGACAAATCCATATTTTGTCCGGTGCATGTAGCTTGCGGCTTGGGGTTGTTTTAGTATGTTTTAGTTGTTTTTGTTTCCTTCTGTTTCCACGGTTCCTCCCCATTTCCCCTAGGCATTTCCACCCACCACCACCTGCAGGAGATCGAACGCCCGCTGGAGCGCCGTTCGCTCTGCGCGCCGCTCTGCAGCGCCACCTGCGGTGGCACGGCGAAGGGCATCGACGCCCTGCCGTTGTCGTGGGCGAGACCTGAGCAAGAGGCAGGGGAGAGCAGTAGAGACCTGGATGGCATCCGTTGAAGATTTCTGGGTCAAGAAATTTAAGAATCAAACATATTAGAACATAAATTTAACATATATAATATATTTGTTCATGGAGGAAGAATTAGCATCCTGAAAAGGATTTTTGGAAGGGCGACAAGCCATCCAAGAGGAATATTTACCTATCTTTTGCGGTCTTCGGTATCAAGCAATCAAAGTGATGTAGGGGTACTGAATGATTCATACAATATGCATAGTGAGAACTCCCATATGCCCACAATGGTAGTTATGGCATGTGCAGGTGTGGGTGCTGAGAGAGGTTCTGAAACCCTCCGAAGTTCAAGCGATCCTTGGATGCACTGCTTTCAAAATCTGAAGCATGGTGCAGGTTGAACGAGGATGCAATGGGACAACCATTTTGTCAAAAGATCAGTACAAAGTCCTATATAAGGGATGTCGGTGCCTCGCATGCTTTAACAAATCTTGAGCCTCTGATACAATCATGATTTTGATGTCTACTGACCATATCAGCTTTTAAGGATCCGAGAATGGGGATTGTCACTTGGCAGAAGATGTATGCTGTGACAACATTGAGGTGACGCTGATGTGAGTGATTTTGGCAATGGGAGGTTTATCGCAACCAATTCTCAGTTTCCGACGTGCTAACAGTTCATGCTGAGTTTGTGTGTGTGTGTGTGTCTCATATTTTACTTAGTGTGCTTGGAGTCCTTGGAGGGTGCATTCCAGTCCATTCCTAACGATGTGGCTAATTAGATAAAGGTCACGCGCTGATTGGGTGCAAGCAAATGGTGACTTGGCAAGCAATTCGTTGAATGTGTTCTAAGCCCAAATAGCAGGATTGGAAGTGTTGACGGTTGCACTCCAAGCGGAGAAGCATAGCCATGACTCCCAAACGACTCGACTAGGACCAATTTACAAAGTTATCCCGAGATATCTCCATCGTGTTTTCCCCTTTCGTATTTATACATCCAATCGGCCAGCATCAATAGACCCTTCACCCTGGTTCTAGTGTTGCCAGAAAGCTTTCACTACTCATCAATCATGGCTGAGTTGGTCAGGACATTTGATCAACCAATTCTTCGATCCGGTGCTTTCCTTCAAACTTTGGAGCCGCGTCAAGCACCTCATGCCCAATGTGCAAGGTCTTGCAGCTGCGGGGCTGAATGAACACCTGCGCTTCTTGAGGTATGGCGAGGCACCGCTGCGGCCGGGTTGGTTGCACGATGAACCCATGAACATGTCAGCTAGGGCTGTGCTGTACCGTGGCTTGTGCTCACACCGGTGGATTGCTACAGCCATGCTGTGTACAGGGCCACTATTTTGCTCCACACCAAGATGGTGAAAACCGCAAAGACTGTGGGAGATCGGTCTTCTCTGCCCTTTTGCACCTGGGTCATCTTGGTAGTCTTTTTGCGGCCAGCTGATGTCATTATCACCTGAGAGTTGGGGATGAAGAGCCATTGGATCCCATTGTTGGTATTTCCCTTCCAAGATCAAGCAGGTTTGGTGATGGACTTTCTTTTTGGTCACTGAAAACTGATAAGGCTCACAACTTGTTGTTCGAACAGTTTGGTAGAGACATCCATGCACCTCTTTATTGATTCCGGCTGTGAGGTACCTCTCAGACAGCACTGGCTGCGATGATGGCTCTACTCGCTTTGTTTCGCCACTGTGCCCTGAGGCTCAAAAGGGCATTCTAGACTCTAGACTCTTCCTGTCATGTGTCTAAATAAGCAGCAGTTCTAGAGTCAGATCGTTTGGGTCATATCTGTCATATCATTGGCCAAATCATTGGCACAGGTAGCACGTTGTGGCCGTTGCGATTGGTCTTGTAGCCATTGCGTGGATGCTCCAGTGGCAACTGGAGATATGGTGATTTTCACACAGACCTTGCTGCATGCTGGGACTGAACCCAAGAACTCGGAGAAGTATGTCTGCTGGCAGCCAAAGCTTCGCAGCTTTTACTGCCTACACAAATAGAAGTATGACTCGTTAGAGAGATCTATTTGTAGGGTATAGAGCAGGGGATTTTGTCTTTCAATCTGATTCAGTCTTATTTTTGTTCGTCTGTGCACATTCCCTGAACTTCCCCGAAGCTAAATCATTGTCACTCAGGTCATCCGAACCGACGTGATGTATCCAGTATCATCTAGCTGAGCCACACAGCTGCTCAGGCTGGCTGCACCAAGGGGTCAGTCCTTTCAAGAGTGGTAGGGTGGATTTGTTTACATCATTTTCCATCAGCAATATGAAATTTGACTGCATCACTACCGCAAGTGTGTTTCAGAAATAAATGTACTTTGTTGTGGCAGGAAATGGAAAGCTCAGAGACTGTGAAGTACAGCAAAAACTTCTGTGCGTTGGATGATGTGATTTGACAACCACCATTGAGAAGACTATGATTTGTGGAGATGCATTGCTGTCAGCCAAGCCTTTGCTTTGTCATTGATGGCATCAGCAACAGACTCCAAGATCGTGAAGGAGAACGCAGTGTTGTAGCCGGGGGTATTGCTACAAGTGGATACAAGTGGGACACTGCGGTCATTGGTCGGAGACACACTCTTCTCCCTGATGGTCGCAGCACTTTCAAGTTTCTCGGCGTTGATCGCCACCTTCTAGTAGCGCTCTTGCACCGGAGAAACATGGTACACTTTACATCTCGAAGCCTGCGGTAGAGGAAGAGGCTCTACCCAGGCCAAAGAAAACGTTTGAATTACTTCGCTTGGCTCAACTGAGCTGTAGCTGTTTCACAGATGCCGTGAACTTGCTTATGTTTCATCATTTTCCATAATTTTCCATACTTTTCCAATGATCGAAGAGGATCAAGAGCTGACAGCAAACAGATTTGCTGCTCACGCCTTGGACAGAATTTTGCCTGTCGATGGTGCAGCTGACAGGATTGACCCGTGTGGTTTGAACAAGTGGAAGGTGGGACGGCATTCTTGGTCCATGGTTGCAGATGGAAATATCATGAAATATCAGTGTAGTCAGCACTGGAAAAATACTATTACATAGCCCTGACAAATCGACTGAGTTGGTTTTGTTGATGAATGATGAACATTTGACAGCCGATTCGGCTCAAAGTCACAGATATGGATCCACTCATATCCACTCCAAGTCTCTTCTTCATATTTTTTGATGTTAAGATGCCATGGCCTGCCATCTCCTTCTCTTTGGAGCCACAACACAATTCATTGCAATAGATAGACATCAAGAAGTTGCATCTTTGGGGGCGTTCCAGCCACCTTGGGTTATAGCTCCAGTTAGTTTGAACACACTGGCTTCTTCCGGCACCCCAAAGGTTCATGAAGGATTCTCAACGAGAGACTCATGGACACGCCAACCACTGGCTTCTATTCAAGTAGACAATTCTGGTGAATTTTGGAGGCCAATGCTCCCAGAGAACCAGCCCAGGAAGTACAGCTGGCATAGTCTCATGCACATCATGAATCAATGCCATGGAAGGGAGCCCTGTCTCGAGACTGGAAGAGGCCACACATAATGGTCTTTTGGAACAGTTCACGCTTCAATGGATACGAATTGATTGAGGTTATGAAAGGTTTCATTGATTGATAGGCAGTAATGACTGAAAAAAACTGCAAAGGTGCCAGAGAGCCCCATTACACACTGGCGATCCCTTGTCCCAAGCCTCGAATTATTACTTCCCCACATGTTTGATTGGTGCTGGCTTCATTGAAGCAGCTTCCAGAAATGGATGCCTGGAAAGTCTATACAGGACCCAAAAACAAAATATGTGCGAAAACCGGTAAAAAAACGCATTTCGTTTCTTTCTTTTAATGGATTTTCCCTGTATACCATAGATACGACAACAAACCCAACGACTTTGGATATCTATTGATGATGTCATGTTGACCTAAGCCCCCATGGACGAGGCTGGAGATGACGCCCAGCTAGAAGAGCTGGAGAAGGAGTTGGAGGACTGGGATGCGGCTTGGGGCATGGCAAAGGTAGGTTTGTCTGAAAATGGGATATCCCGATATGCCCACAAAATGGGATTTGACTAGGGAACCTACTGTTAATCAGTGGATTTTGGGGTACCCTATTTCTAGACAAACACAAATTGGTAGATTGATGTTAAAATTCAATGGACAAGAACTAACCAGGAGTATGGGATCAGAAATCAGAACTTTTCAGAAGCGGCATGTTCAAAAAGTCCTCGGTTTCCTCCGCATTTTGATTGTCATCCATCCATCCAGCTTGCTGTATACAATTTGAGCATGTTGAATCCTTGGAAAAATCCACGTCACAGTCATATTGGAAGGCCATTTTGGATGCTGGGATTGGAGCAGTAGCATTGCAAAGGACTTGGAGGCAGACGTGGTGTTCCTGCAGCAACGCCTGGCAAAGCTGCAGAGTCAGAACGGATGTGCGTCCCATGGCAGACCTGAGATTGGAGCCAGGTTGGATCAGTTTGCTGGAAGGTATTCCGAATTTATGGAAGTGGTGCTTTATGTTTCTTTACTTTCAGTGCTGTTCAAAGAAACACGATCCCGCTTGAATCCAATCCCTGGCCGGGAAAATGGCAAGAGATCCAGCTGGTCCCAGCAGCCAAGGTCATTGATAGATATTCCACTGGAGAATCTTTGTTGGCAACTTCCAGCTGCTGATTTCATGGCGCTCTCCATGGCAGGTGGGCTGGTGTAGAGAAATGGTATGGGAATTGGGACTTGGTTTTAGATGATGTCGCTCAGAGGATTTCTCGTGCAACGAAGCTCAGCTTGTAGGCATTCTTTAGATGAATACATGAATATGGTAGAACTATATAAGTTGGGCTAGTCAAATTTCAGAGTGCGAACTCAGTTGGAATCATAGGGCTGTCAAAGGATGTTGGGGGCCATTCAAGAATCATTGATGCTGTATATGGGCATAGGTATGTATAGGAATGTCTCCATGTTTGTTCCAGTACTGTAAGTTAGTAAGATGCAGATTCTAGATATATGTTGTTTACTTACTGTTGTTTATTCGTCCATTATCTCATAGCTGCACATGTCGAAATATTCCTTTGGCATCCTTTAGCTTTTTCCACCCCTTATCACTATGCCTTTCTGGTCAGGGATGCGCTTGTACAAAACAAGCCAAGAGATCCTTGGATGCACGAGACCAGGGTGGATTGGAAACTGCCATGTGCTGTGGTATGGCCTTGAAGCCTGGAGCACGTCAGAAGCCACTCAAGGCATCGTGTGATGATTGGGACGAAGGGGGTATGGGTCACAATTGCTCACATATCCCAACCACAGAAAATGTAAGACCAAAATATAGAATCTGCAGTTGTGTCGCCTATTTGTCCTTGTGATTCCCTATATAAAATCAATAGTGTTCTCCACTGTCTTCAGACCGAGGCTCTTGCCCTCGTTGCTGCCGGAGGCATGTCTGGCGTCCCCAAAACAAGTTGTACCCACCGGGGGAGTGATGGAACTGACTCAATATGCCATTTGCATCCATTTGCATCCATGTGCATATTGTATGATTTTATTATCAAATTATACAATTTTTGTTCCAAATCCTCCAATGCATCCCCATCAACATGCAAGGTTCCAATGGTTCCGATACCTGCCAGGCTCCGTTGAGCCCCTTGATTTCTGCTCCATGTCTGTGGCGCGCCTGGCGTGAGCCCTGCCTGACCCTGGGCCTTACAGCTGCTGTTCCACAGATGGCCCTGGGCCGGGCTCTCAAGGTGCTCTTCATGAACTGCTTACTTTTCGGGTTCTGCTCTGCTTTTCTTGGGGAAACTATAATTAATAATTGCATATAATTGCTGAAGATATCCTGGCGATGAACATCAATATCCATTACTAGTCACTATTACTGGCCAGTAAAAATCTCCATGAGTCCCGTTTCCCAAACTTTTGTCGTACCCCTGTCTTCACCACATACCCTGCCACGCAGGCGTTCCGCCGATCGCCCACCGGGCCCTTGTGCATTGAGAGCGAAGATGGTGAATGTTTCGGCACGCGGAACTTGCAACCCTACGAGGCACATCATTTGGGCTTTCATGGTAGCGTAAGGCAGCTATGGTTATGATCAGCATCAAGAAACTTGATAAAATTTGGAGAGATGGAAGTTTCAACATGTTCAGTGCTCAGTTGCTACTGACTGATGCATGATTGATCTCTCCGGATGTCAACATGAATACATTAAAGAAGGCGTCCTTTCTTTTCATCCTGTCGGGCTTGTAATTTGCTGGCTTCACTGTGATCTCTTGCGTCACTTTGTGAGGCGGTTTGGGCTTTGACCAAGCATCACACCCCACGGCTTCTTCGTTTTAAAGTCAAGGAAAGGACGGACAAAGGACCGGGTGCTGCAACCAGTACGATGAACATGACTGAATTCTCAGTGTCAGGATGTTTGACAAAACAAATACAGTACAAATCCTTCAGGTCTTCAGATTTTGACTAAACATGTCGGATATGTTGGACTCAATCCAGGCCAGAGGCAACAGAGTAGATGTAATGTTTGGCATCCTCCATTTGAGAAACGCTTATTGTTGGTCCATGTTGCTCCTATTTCCTTGCAATCCCTTACTTCATGTTCATTGCATTTTATATTGTTATCTCTCCATTTACCCTGCTTGGTTCCCGTTTTTTTTCATATTACAATAGATAATAGCATATCATACCAAACATGTTCCAACAGAGCTAAAACAACTTTAGTTTAGAGGATTAATTAATGAGGATTATATATCAAACATTACCAAATCATACCAAACCCATTTTTGATGGGTACAAGCCTCCAGTGTTGCTGCTTGATCCATTTTGATCCATCTTGATCCATTTTGATCCCATACATCTCCCTAAAGTCATGGTGCTATAGGAGCCGTCCACCCTGAGACGTCGGTGATGCTGTTGGACTCGGCTATTCCCAAGCAACCGCTTTTCACCGTCAGCTGGCCCCTTGGAATCAATGGATGGGTGCTATCCTTCAGGAATTCGGTGTTGATGTGGTTTGGATGTGGGGTATGGGTCAAAATTCAAGCAATTGCTATCATTTGTTTTGTCAATTTTAGGTCTTTCATCCCAATTTCTGGAGGAACATCTCCGCTTTGAGTGTCGCCTGGGGCGGCCGCAGTTGATTCGATTTGAGGCGTCGAGAGGGTGCACGGTACCAGATGCACGTCTTCACAAGGGAGGCATGGTGGGGGGCACAGGGCAGCTGCCTAAGCCTTGTCAACAATCTGCACACATATTCTGCCATATCCAGTGGGAAAATCATGTTTGAACCTATGTATACCGTACTTCAAACCGGGTTTCCGGGTTTCCATCCCTGTTTGTGTTTTGATTGTGAAACAAAAAAGTCATTTTTTGCTGCTGGCAGTGGCCCTTGGTTGACTCCCATGGTTTGTTGCTGTCATCCCACCAGCGAAGTGAGCTCCTCAGGTGGTCTCTGGCCGATGTGCCTGGGCTTACCGGCAACGTCGCTTCAACTTGGAGGCCAGCCCATGTCGAGAGGGTCGAGAGGTGAGGTCACCAGAGGTGATGCTTGGTGAAATAATGCATTCGTTTGGTGAAACCTTGCATGAAGGCCTTTGAGGCTGCTGATCTCCATGTGCACGTGGAGTAGCTTGGCCAGATGGGTTCAGAGTCAGCGCAACCGTTGATGAATGATGAATGTGTTTGGAGATAGAACATGCGCAAAGGCACGGAGCCAAAATTGAGATAGCGAGGGCCAGGGCATTTCATAGGTTCAACGCAACAAACACATCTTTCATCATCTTTCCTATTTTCCTGCCCCTGTCATATTCAAGATACACTTTACAGTAGCTGCACTTCTCCGTTGAGATGAACTGAATTGGCATGTGTTTGGATTCAAGTGGCAATGGCCGCGATCAAAGGTTTCCGTTTGCAACCATGCAGATCACCTGGTTGATACCCCATCCCCTGATTTGAATGTGAGAAAGATTGCTGTAAGTCGTGTTTTCTTGGACAGCTATATTGTGTGTAAGATAATTTTGTTGTATCAATTATATTCAGTTATCCATCACTTTTAAACATGCAAAAAAGAAAGAAACATTCAAAATATGCAAATTCGCCTAGGTCTGGGCGCTTTTATGCCAAGCCCACGTGATCTATTCTGCAGGATGGAAACCAAATGCATCGGAAAGGCATCCACGACGTTTTGCAGATGGACCACTGAGGTTCGATTGGCCCACTGCTCGGTGTTGGATGCAGCTTGGTCGTGACCAGCTTCAGGACCGGCTCCAGCTGGTGGATTTCCAACGGGATGGAACCCAGCATCAATGGCCATAAGATCCACAAAAATGTGGTAACGTCATTGTATATGACATGAAATAGTTGATGATCTGATGATTCGGACGTGATGTGTTTTTTTTCAACATAAAGAACTCAACCTGTTTCTTGGAACACCTCTGAAAGAACATGAATTTTGAGATAAGAGCCCTCGCAACGCCATGCGGCTGTGAGGAGTTTCCCTTCAGTGGTTCCTCTGGGTCGCCCACCACCGATCAACTGCGTCGCTTGGAGTTGATGTTGGGATGGTGGGATGCTGAAGATTCCTGGTTGCTTTCATTAGGGCCGTTACCTCCAGAAAATGTGTATGTATATATAGACATACATATATACATATACATATAATATACGTATGATAACTATATAATATGTATGTACTGTATATGATATGCTACTGAAATGGCACCTTCTCCACTGAAGCAGCTCCATCAATCAGGGGTTGACATTGATTATATAGGCATGTTTGGACAAGCACAATCAAGACAAGGCTTACCTTCTATCCCCCCACAGATCCAGCTACCAAGGATTACAACTGTCGCCTGCTCGGGAAGATCTGGAGATCTCTTTGCTGCTAGGATGAGTTGGTGCCAGATTGGTGAGAGGAGGGTCCAAAGTGCTGGTTGCAGTCAGAAGTAGTTGAGGATTTTTCGTCCAGGAATCCGCACCATTTGAAGCCATAAAAAAAGGAGACAAACGCTTTGGGAAGGAAGAAGAGTCACACATACACACAAAAAAACATGGATGGTTCTATTATTGTTAGAAACATGTTTCTAGAAGATTGGTTTGTTGCTGCGCAGTGCTACGGACTCTCCCTGTACTTGTAGCAACAACAAGTTATCCGCAGCAACAGGAACATTTTTTGCAGATTCAAAGACTTGGTTGATCTTGGTTGCCTTGATGGTTCCATACTTAAACCTTAGGTTGGATCATTTTGGATCATGCAGACAGCCTCTCACCCAGTGGAGTTGCATCATCGTTTGCCGGCAAACGGCTCCTTTGTACAAAGTGATCCTGGTTGGTGACTCCAAATACATCATATGTTGGTACATATTTGCATTTAAATTATCTTCTTTGATATTCTTTTTTGGATGTTGATCCCAAGTGCTTAATATGTTTGAATTTGCGATGGCTTGAAGCCACCAACCAGATTTGATTTTCAATAGTTCGTGCTTAGCCACATAGATTCCCCGAGTGGAGGTGCCAATAGTTGTACCGTTGCAGATGGACCATCCTTGATACGATCTTTTGGCCGGGAACAACCTGCTTTTACCAGCAGAACGGTACTGTACCATTTGGTTCTGGTTTGTTCCAATCTCACAGTTAAAGGATGTTAAAGGCATTCCTTGGAATGAAAACGCTCCGAAGAAGTGACTTCAGAGGTGACTGCCAGTACGAGCATTAAACACTCCAAGGGTTCAAAGGATAGAGTGTCTTCAAAGCTGGAACAACACCAATGTTTGCAGCAGATTTTCTCGCCAGAACAGGCAAACTATGCAACTTGCACAAGACCTTGTCTGGACGATGCGTATCGGCTCAGCTCTTTTTTTTCACAGATGTGATGATGATCAATCAAAGTCCAAAACAACACCAAGCCTTCAAGCAGCAGAGACACCTTTGTGGATATAGGAACTTTTTCAGGATCTTTCTGATGCTGCAAAAACAAAGATCTATGATCTATGATTATTTGGACTATTGAAACCGTCCCCAGTTGTGCAGCACCACAAAATTGTTTCAGACAATAATACCTCCTGGCAAGTCTCCAATCCAGGCTTGTGTCTGGACACTTATAGCCAGCCTATAGCGTATTATTTTTTGTGATCATGCCAATTTCCATTCGATTCACCGGGCTGGTTTAACCTGGGAGTCCACTTCTTGATCTTTGGTATGAACCCATTTGGGTGTTGTTCTCACTCATTGCGCTTGTCAGTTACCAAGACTCACTCAACAGCCGATACATACTGTATCACAACCCGGCCGTTGTATTGCCGGGTCCATCATCAAGTCGCCCATGTTTGCGTAGCCTTTGAGCCGCAATGGAGTTCATCGTGAAAGAGAGCCGCAAAGTGTGGATTCCAAATCATCCCACCCATGGCTACAGGCTCGACTGGCAGTTGTTGTTCGCAATGTTTAGAGGCGCATCTCCATTTGGAACCTGGTCACCACAAGTTCCCCCCAAGAAGTAATATCAAATCATGCAAATAAATGCAAATAAGATATATGGGGATAATATGAATTCATAATATGATTCATTCGGATGTGTCCTAAGAAAATTGGAGGAAACCAAATTTCATGCGGATCCCATCGAAGCCTTTGGAAGTCTTTTAGGCCTGGCTGGGCCAGGCCTGGGCTCGTGGATGACAATGCTGAGAGCGGCGAGTTCCTCACAGTCTTTGATGATGAAGGGAACAAGTTCCAGGCAGCTTAGCTGTCACTGCTGTGGAATGGATCGAAAGGTGCTGCACGCTGCACACTCAAACCCACAGCATACGCACAACATACCCACAACATGCCACATAACTGTCCAGTTACACTTTTAATATCTTTTAATCTTGTAGTTGTAGTATGAAGATGTATGAAGAATCATTTTGCAATGTCACATTAAGATTATAAGATTGATGGTGTTGATAATCCCCCACTCAATGGCCGATGTTTGCCGATGTTTGGGACATGGATCACAACCCCTAAAGATCCCAGTGTTTCCTGTTCCCTTCACCCAGGTGGCACGATCAGAAGCCCTTGCGGTGGATGCAGCATGCCTCACAGGGGTGGAAGATCTCTTGACGCTGGGGGATTTCAACGAGCCGGTTCCGTGGCAGACGTGGCAGATGTCAGTGGGTCACGTCCAAGTGGAACATGGTTTCCTCCAAGTTGTGCTGCTACAGATGCTCTTGCACCTAGTATGTGCATGTATGTGCTAGGTTGCGCATTTATGCAAATTTGACAATGGTTGTTTGCACAACCATCCCTACTCCAGCATCCAACACCACTTAACTATTTGCAATGGTCCAAAAAAAAGTGAGTGGTTAAGCATGCTGGAGGAGCCATTGAACAGTAAAGTACTCTACATCGTCATGTTCGTGGCTGAAAACACACTTTCTGTATCTTTCTGTTAAGCTTCAATCTCATATTTGTTGGCTTGATCCCTGCCCAGTACTGTTCGCCTCTTCAAGTCCGCACCACCAGGCTTTGCTGCACAACATCCGTGTGCGATATGATCAGGAGCCGCGATGCCGGGCCATCTCGGCTTGATCTTAATCGGTCCTTTGGTTGTCGTCACTTGTGATACTTGATGAGATGCTCTTTTGGCCCTGGGAAACACACGATACCATACAATTGGTCCTTTTGGGGATTGAACCTTAAAATTTCTGCGCTACTCGCTTTTGGATTGAGTTGGATGTGGCCTATAAGTGATGACAATGATTGAGTTGGCTGAGCCCAACAGTTTTGTACCATGCATAGATGTGTGGAAGATAAGAAAAACACATACGTGCAGGCATTAGGAACGGTTTATGGAATTGTTTGGTCAGCACCCAATGCCAAAAATGACACTGAGATTTTGGAGAGATAGCGTGTTACGACGACATAGAAATTGGAGTGATATTAATATGTACGTGTGTAAATGTCTTGATTGCTAAACGATTTGAATGTGCCCATGCTTGCTGCTTGCTCTTTAATATCCAGGTTTTCTTGCTCGCGCAAGACACTGGGACCCTGGAAAATAATGTCCTAAGATGTCCTAATCATCATATTGGCATGTGGAATAGGTTCCGAGGAATTCCTTTCAGTATCTTCTCATCCCTTTGTTGCCTCTGCAGGATAGTATTTACACTGGCATTGGTATGCCCATTCTGATCTCAGTGAAGCTTGCCAAGCAACAAAAATGGTGCACAGCGAGGATGTTGATGACTAGCAGTGTAGGTAACCTTCTACCCATATTTGCCTCATGTTTGTTCATCAAGACTTTTGGAATCTCTCACAGTCCCATTCTGAATTCAGGACAGCGAATTCAGTCAAAGCATAACTCATCATAACTCCAATTCGAGAATCATTTCAGAAGCCCAGAGAGGCTACATTTACAAGCGCAGAACCAAGGAATCCCTACCAAAACATTCCTGGACTTTACAGCCAAGAGACGATGCGGCAGTACAAGCGCTTGGCTGCCAAAGCTCCAAGTCAGGCCAGGGGCTGTGATTCTACAAGGTGGTTCCGCTTAACTACAAGGATCTCTTTGAGTGGTCTCCCATTCTTGTCCTCACACCTATCTTAAAAGGTTTGTAAGCAAAATGTCTACAATTCTTTATTACTCGGCCGCCTTATTTCAGTTGTCGGTCAGGATTCTGCCTACTGATCCCATGCAAGAACACATCAAACGAGTTTGTTTGAAAATATAGTACCCCTCGACAATCCACTGATGTTCATCATAGTTTCCCATATTTTCCCCACAAGAACAGCCATCAAATGGTGGCCCATCTCCATGGGCGGCCAGTCTGGTGGTGGCCTTCCAATCCACCTCTACACCGTGGCAGATGCCGCATATAGAGCCGCTAGGAGACAGCGAATCCAAGGGGATGATGGGTGGAAAAATGTAGATGAACAGATCATTTCTGCTTTGCTCTTCATGTTTGGGATATTTGTGGATATTTACTGTAGATTGTGGTTGATTCTTTTTTTTTTGAGGTGAAATTGAGAGAAATTACCTGACTTTTGACCCACGGTCAGATAGATGTATACAGACAGTGTTGAGAACAAATTCTACTCGTTGAGGGAGCACGCGCCTGAGTTGATTGTGTGTTTGTGGCTACTATTCCAATATATATTCGGTTTGTCTGAAATTTAAAGCGAGGTACCCCAAAATGCAACGGGTTATCACCACGGTCCCGGGTCCCCGCTAAGTTGCGATTTTTTGGGGTATATTGTATACCACATGTTTAGACACACCAATGTCATAGTTTTCTCGGTGTTCCCGCCATTGTCCCATGAATTGTTGGTACATACCGCACTTCTGGCTGCTTACAATCCCTATAACCATCCCAACAAATGGCCCCACCCCTGTAAGGCCATGCTTTCAGAGAAGGCGAGCCAGTCTATCATCATTTCAGGCTGGAGGATGATGAATGGTCGGGGGCTGTTTTCCAACTGTTTTTGTTCACTAAAATGATGAGATGATTCCTTTCTCTGTGGATCAGGCGAGAGTGGAGCAGGAAAGACCGAAGCGACGAAGCGCATGTTGGTGGCAGCCTTAGAGATCTTAGAGCGTCCGGCCGCATGTTGGGTTCCTTACATGGCAATGGGACATTCCCTATCAATGGGTACTTCTAGGGGGTGATTTTCAATCAAGCCATGTTTAATTACCCTTGGGGTGTAGGTAAATTGGTAGTGTGTGTGTGTCCTTCTTGCAGTTACTGTAAGATCAATTCTTGAGTTGAACAAAAGGCATTCTGGCAGTGCCATAGGTAATAGCCAGTTAAGGCCTACTTGGCAGAGTTGCAAAGTTCCAAATCTGAACATCGAGGACTCCAGCAGTTTGCTGAGTCGAACATGTCCATTAATTGAAGGATCTCTTTGAGTAACTTAGACGCATACGAATTGTTTGAGTAAATGGGTGTCAAGTCTCAGGCCCTCTTGCTGGAATGAGACATTACCATACATTACCATTACACATACTATTACTGCAACCTTTGAAAAGCATTTTGATTTGGAGGCTGCTACAGGGTCACCTCCCAAAAGCAGTGGTTGAAGTACTGAGATTAAGGATGCGCCATGTTGGCATCATGGAAGATGAGTTTGTTGGTTTTCATCTTGCGATGATTGATCGTCCAGATTGAATGACAGGTGTTTGGGGATGAAGAAGCACCAGATAGCTTATCCTTAGTCTCGTTGGTTACATTTCCAAGTATCAAGTTTTATTGGTAAACAGGTAAACATTCAATTTCGATCAATTTTGGGGAACAGTTTGGATCAACCACCAACCTCAGTGCAGCCAGATATGTTCACCCAATTCTTGCCTGTTGATTAACTTGCCCACTACTGTTGCTTCAGATTCCCATGATATGCCAAAAATGTATAAACATGTCCAATGCTAAACTGGGGATGCTCTTTTGATACCCAATCACATTCTGCAAGGGTGTTACTAAATCATCAGCGAACACAACATCCCTATTCCATACATTAAAATACTCTATATATAGTCCCTATATGTTCGCTATGTAGCCGCTTTGTCGTGATATGCCTTGATATCCAGCCCATCCCGGCGGCACACCTCGCAGGAGGTCGCCGCAGCGTGGAGTCGCAGGTGCTGGACGCGAATCCGGTGCTGGAAGCATTTGGCAACGCCAAGACGGTGCGGTTTCCCGACACGGCGGAGCCACCGATGGGGATCCAGAATAGGGCATGTCCAAGAAGCAAAACTGGTGGTAACCCCAACTCTAAGCCTGGAAAGGGAAAATTCATTTGAGTAACTCAAACCAATTGTTTTTTTTTGGAAGCTTAGTTAGTGTCCCAACAATTCTATTGTGTTGGAGGTACAGAACTTCGCAAGATGTGTCCCCGTTCCCAATCCATGTGACCAGGTGAGGAACGACAACTCTTCACGCTTCGGGAAGTTCATCGAGGTAGTGGTGGTCTGTGGTGGTGGCGTGGGAACCATTGAGGAGAGTAAAATTGATCTAAAATGGAGGTCTGGTCTGGGTACCATATCAAGATTATCAAGCGATAGAACTTGGGGGACAAATCCCCATTGAACATCCTGAAAAACATCAAAGTCTAGTAGGCGGCAAGTTATTTTTCACTATACTTCGTCAAGAGTGCCAAATGAGATGTTGATGGATGCTGCAGATTGTGAAGGTCAATAATCATGGAATTTCATCATATATTCATATAATAATATATATATATAATATAATATATATATATATTCTATGCTAATGTGTGACTGTGCAGTTCACGGCTGAAACATGATGACATCTCCGGTGCTCCAACTTCGATCGAGGTGGAGTTCGATTCGGGTGGCAAGTTGCTAAGTGCACAGCACCTTGGCCATGAAGCGCATAGGGAAGGATTGATCCCGAGGATGGAGGATCAAAAGATCAGGTCCAATCCAGTCCAACGGATCTATATTCTATATAACAATATAGTACATGTATATATAATTATATATATACATGATATGATATGATAGATGTCTCTGATTTATGGAAGGCTCACCATGCCTCTCTGTATCATTCAACAGCCAGTATCAGTCTATGACAGTCCTTTTTATCATATTGCCCTTTGGTCAGGCGGATGAGGGATATCACCAATGCCTGCCACAGCACCCAGGATCTCCAACTATTTGCTGGAGAAGTGTCGAATTGTCCATCAACAGCCTGAGGATTGCTGGATCTGATGACCAACATCACAAATCTTGGGGATGGGATTAGCATTGCATTTTTGATGTTATCCTGTGCAGTTGCCAGGTGATGTTCTCGGGTTACAACGACTATATGACTATAGAATACTATATGACTATAGACTATATGTAATATGTAGATCTATCATGTATCCAACCAACAGCAACTTTGAGCACGGACACTGATTGACCACCGCTGCCGGGTGCCGCAGGAGCGGAACTACCATATCTTCTACCAACTCTGCACTGCATTTTCCAAGGCGCCAGGAAGACACACTGCCAGATGAATCCACATGGTGAAATCAATGTGATAAGATAGCTTGAAGTGGGATTGCCAAAATGTCAATGTTATTTAATGTTATCTGAGTTCACAGATTGTGAATGATTGTGGATGATTGTGATTTGGGTCGGCACAGTTTTGCTTTCTCACTCTTAGTATCTTATTATTATCATGACATTTCATAACATGTCATGACAACTCATGACAACTCATGACATTTCAAACATGGATGCGCATAATTTTGCCAAAGTCTCGCATGTCATCCGCTGCCAGGGTCAGGTGGCCAAAGATCTTCAACTGCAACCTGCCTCGGACTTTGAGTACAGCAAGGTGCCAAACTGGACTCGCCACTCTTGGGCGGTTCAGGGTGTCGGGCTGGTGTCATGGTGGTCCATGCCGCAAGGTCATCAAGTGGAATACAGTATTTGATATAAGAGGTGTTTGGTGAGCTGTTCATTCTGAACGTCTTGGGGCATTTGGAAGATTCCGGAAGGCAAGCCAGCTTGCAAATGTTGTGCTACTATTCTGTCCATGGTACACGTTTGATACATGTTGATACGATGTCATCCTTGAATAAGACCTTAGAGCTTTGCCAGGAGTGTACCGAAATCGCGGGACTCGATGATGATGCCGAGTTCACTGCTGTGTTGGATTGTATGAGTGGCTTGGTACCTGAAACATGAGGGGGTAGGTCCTGGTAATTGGATGACAAGATCAAAAAAGATATGATCCTACATTGTGCTTGTTGAAAGACTTTGTTGTGTATGCGTGAACTAGCCACTGGACTGGGGTTTCAATGATTCCACTTTGGTTCATGCATGTTCATGCTACGCCGTTCGTGAAACCACTCATGGTTTTCGGTACTCGTAGCTGCACAAAGAGACTCTTTTTGAAGAGGATAATACCTGGGTAAATACAATAAGAGATCATTACCTTTCAGAAAGCCAACGCGCAATTTCTTGCGCCGATTTCGATCATCCACCAGCCCGGGACTCCTAGGCAGTTTGGGCTTCACTCAGGAGACTGTGCATGACTGTCGGACCATGCATGGGTTATTTTGGCATGCTGCATGCAGGGGGACGTGTAACTTTAAGCCTAACTGATATGCTGCATATTAGCCCCGCAACATCTATCACATGTCGTATCTATATACACGTATTTCCTCTGCTTGGCAGGACCTCCAAGAATCTTGATTTTTCGGCAAATTTGGCGGCAAAGAAATATCCCCGGTTTCTGGGTGTGCTCATGTATATGGCGATTTGCTAGATCGAACATGATGGAACATGATGGAACCATCAACGGAGTGAGATTATATTCTGTCAAGACACCTTGCCCCAAACGTGTCACACAGCAGAGTGCCAGTCATAGCATCACTGGATATCAGCGGTGTTCGTTCGCCACAGGAAGAACGTGATACCATCTTCCGCATCGTTGCTGCAGTACTTCATCTAGGACTGGATTGATGTCATAAGCCTTGCTGGTCCGACTTCGGTGATTGGTTTCTTTGGGATCATTGAACAGGATAGGACCGTGGCACAACAGGAAAGGCATGTGGAATGATCCCAGCCCACCCGTGGTGTTTCGAATCGTGGGAGATGTTTGATTCAGCTCCTTCAGGTGTGAATGTTGGGATACTGCACCAAGTAGTACCAAGTCTTAGATGTTCGCTATGAATTGGATTCTTGATTCAACACTATTCAATTTGATTCATTACATGATGATTTCCTCTGCCACTAAGCCACTAAGCCCAAACAACTGTTTGCCAGGAGAAGTTGAAATTGTAGCATGTGCGCGAAACGGTTCCGATGGCGTCAGCGTGGCCGAGGTCATTGGGATTTGTCGGAGCACGTGCTATAGGGTGAGCCCGGTGTCAACTGTGAAACAGGCTGTGTGGTGTTGTCCTTGAAACAAACTAATGCCATCTAAACTCCTAGACTCATCTAATTCCATCTGATTTCAGAAATTCGATTGACTATTCAGTTTTGATTACAATGCTGTCGTTGTTTGGGTAAAATGGATCTTCAGCCAGTCCAGGACAAGACGTTGCCATTGGTCTGCGACCTGCTGGGCGTTACATCTGAGCAGATGAATGACGTCTTGGAGCATAAGACCTTCGAGGACAGACTCAGTGATGGATGTGGCTCTGACTTTCTGATTTTCTGACCTAGTGTTGTTGATCAAACACCATTGCAATCTAATAGTGTAAAGCCCGCAAACTGTCAATATGACAACATATGACAGCTATAGTTTCTAGACCTATTTAAGCAGGTTTCATGGAAGTATTCAGCAGTTTGTCCATTTGATGATCAAATTGCGCAGACTCACTCAGTGGTGTATGGATACCTCCAGTTTGGTGCTGTTGATTGAACACCACCAGAACCATATGCAGTGTAGAGCCCCCAGCATTTGCCGTTATCAATTTTCAATATTACATAACGATATGATAAATAATTGCCAAACCTCTTTGGTTTCATGGAAGTAGAACGGGAGTATCATCCTTTGGAGCAAACGAAGAACTTATTATGGATGAATTTGGATATTGGAGAAATTGGAGATGCTGGAAAGATAGCAGACATGATGTATGACAATGACCCTGTTTCCAGGATCCCTTGACTGAGACCATCATCCACCGGCCGCACCTCGGCCAAGATGAAACATGGTCGTTGTTCTTGGGCCATTTGCTTTGGTTCTTTGTTGCAATATGTTGTTTTGTACCCAACTGGTGCTATGCTGAAAATTGGCTTTAATTGAAAGACACATAGACACCGAGTCACCATCCAGTGATTGTGATTTCTAGGGCTGTGCTGCACAGTGTTGCGGTCCTTCCGTAGGCACGATGTCTCCTCCGCATCGTTTACCCGGCATTCGATGGCCAAAGTGGTCTACGCACGGCTGTTCGATTGGCTGGTGTGGCGAATCAATGAAAGCCACTAGACTTAACTTACATGCTATTGGTGCTGAAATAAGTGACCAGAAGCAGTGCTAATGCATAATTTGACTGACACATGCTGCATCATGTTGCGTATTTTGAGTGGAATGAAACCACCTAGAAGACTAGAACCAGAAGAGAAAGGCATGTAAGCTGATTTCAATCAGCCTTCTGTGCAGCAGCAGCGGTTTGCCTTTCACTCCAAACAATATGTTGTTGATTGCTTATACCGTATATGTCTGCTTTTAAAAGAGCTCAAGCACCTTCAAACATTTCAAATATTTTAAACAGTCTAAAGTCATGTGACACAATCATGTCTTGCTCTTGCATGAGGCATCAGCCACAAGAATCAGCAGAAAGATGTGCGAAAGATTGGATTGCTGGACATCTACGGTTTTGAAGTCTTTGAGTGGAATCTTGATTTGCAGAAGCTGTCAGTCTTGATGCCCGCGATGGGGACTTCAAAAGACACTCCTGCTGATTAACAGGTGCAATTGCTAAATCCAGCCTTTCTTTATTAATCCTTTTTTTTTAACGAGTTATGCATCAGGATACCTTCGAAATCTCTGTACTGTATACAATATTGAGTATGACAGTATGCATCGTCTGAAGAGCATTTCCTGAGTTTGTGACTGGTTGATCTAAGTAGGCAAACTCCTTTTGTGTTACTCAATACTGCAGATTGTTCTCACTGAACAGGGCAGTTCATGTGTGATTTCTTTCCATCATACTTCTATCCCCAAGCCTTGATGGTTGTTATTTCAATGACTACTGTATCGAATCTCACAATCCATGTGAGATTACCACAAAGAAACAGAAAGAGCACCGAGCGTTGAAAGTGGGGTCTTTAGATGCTTTCGGCACGGCTTGGCCCCGAAGTCCAAGGAATTCCTTCGAGCAACTCTGTATTAACTTTGCCAATGAAAAGCTGCAGCAGCACTTCAACATGCACATGCATCTTGGACCATACTTTGTGCGTGATTGGGGCTCGACATGGGCATTGATGAGTTTTAGCCGGACAGATTCCGGCTGAAATTGCATGACACAAACAGCATGGAGTTTTGTTCTTCCAGTTTCAGGCAAACCTCTCTACGGTGTCAGAATATCCATCATGTGGTTGCCAGTTCGTTCCTGTTCCATCGCTAGTTGGCAGAGTTGGACAACCTGGGGCGAAACTGAAGGCTGCAAGCAAATTGTTCAAATCAAAATAGACCATTCATTCGATGGCTCAGTATCCAAAAATCATGGGGTCTCATTTTACCGGCGTTTTGAATCGGAAAAAATATGTTGAGCCATTGGATGTTTGTGTAGTCCCACTCGTCCCACACCAGAAAGGGCACCTTTCCGAGTTCTTCCCAGGTTCAGTCTGGAGCAAAGACTGTACACCTCGGAGGGCATCAACTGGAGTCATATCACCTGGCAGGAGCTTCCACAAGTGACATGGGCAACTAACCATGCTGGACCTTCCATTGACAGGTATTTAAGAGCTGGGGAAGGTGTTGCTGCTGGACAAAAGAAGGGAACAGCAGTATGTCTACCAAAACGATCAAACATGTATGCGCTGTTTGAATTCCAGGGAGGGTCTATCCATGTCTATCCACTGTTTTGCAGAAAGTCATGCCCCCGATGGCATTTAAGTTGCCAGTCATCCCCCATGGAATGATCCAGCAACGACACCTGCAGGACAATCAGCATATCATTGATTCGCTGGACAAACGACCACTAGGCTGGGTGGCAGTAGATCCTTTCAGGTGGAGCATGCTGTTGATGAGGGTATTCCCTGGCTTCGGTACGCTCCACGGTGCTAGTCATAGACGTAATCTCTTCACTGTGTGGTCTAATAGTAATTATAGATGGTATATGTAGTATAATGTAGTATATGATATAGGATGATATAGGTAGCCTCGCCCCATTTTTTGCTACTCAAATGATGACTAATGATGTTACATGTTCAATAATTATAATAGGAAACCACACTTTATATAATTTTCTCTGTGGTCACCTGCGTGGTTTGACCATTGCTCACTGGGTAGGTCTGTTCTGCTTGGTGGACTCCGAGTGTTTGATGCCACAGTCCACTGACAGTTCGCTGTTCACAAAGATTTTGAACAACTTCAGAAGCTCCAAGGTGAAGCTGGGCTCGGATCATGGTGAAACGAGTTTGAATGAAATGATAATCTGGTTCTTCATGGTTCTTCATGTTTTTTTCAAATTTGTTATCCGCTGTCTGGTGTACAATTTGTATCAATTTGTTGCATGGTGCGGTGGGCTGGCAAGTGGAGCCCTGTCATAGGGCGATCTAAAATCTGAGCTGTAGTTGCGGTATCACTTTATCAATTGCAACCAAGCTCAACAATCAATACAATCACCAGCCATCACCAGTCCCTGCTGTTTGTATTCCTGTGCCATCCACTTTGCAGGTGATCTACAAGGCTTCGAGATTTGGAAACACCGACTTTGGAGTGGCGCATTACGCAGGGGAGGTGGTCTATAGTGTGGAGACCTTCTTGATGAAGAACACTGGTAAGCTTTCGAAGGATGGGAATGCCGTGGGATGCCCCGTAGGAAGAACGCTGTTCCCATATCGGTGGGAAACCATATGGTGAACATCGAAGAAAGATCCAGTCTTGCTTGGAAGTGGGGATATATCAATGGTTGGGGCCCATGCCCGGATATGCTAAAGAGTCTCAAATCCCCGACATGGTAGGGGCTTGAGAATTCACAGGACCAAGATTCATGCTTGGACATGTGATAATGGTTGCACAATGTTGCACATATCAAATGCTGATCGGAAACGATTCGCTGTCTTCACTCGAAATCTCTTCCATTGATCACATTCTGACATGAAATCCTTCCAGAATTTGAATAGTTCAAATATGAATTAATAGGATATCATACTGCGTCCCTTCTTGACGGGTTGTGTTGCCGCTTTTCATTCAATTGGATGAAGAAGACTGTCTATCCCCGGATGACGAGAGACAACATTGGACAGCACCTGCAGGACGTCGTGAGCCTCTTCAAAAACTCGGAGGCCAAGTCTAAACAACACAACTCTCAAATCGAATCCCTGGAGTTGGGTTTTTTTGATGGAGATTAACAGATTAACAGCTTTTTGGGTGCTTTTGCAAGGTTCCCTTTGAAAGGCATTTTGCTCAGCTCCCACAAAACATGTCGTCCATGCTTTCCCTGGAAATCTGTTCAACTTGAAAGCAATCAGCTGCCGATGAAGTCAGGCGCCATGTCTCCCAGTTCGCCCATTTCGCATCAGAATATCTCAACCGTCTGAACCCATCACTGCCCCAGTGGAACAGGTGGAGCTGGTGCGTCGTCTCTTCACGGACCCCCGCTTCGCGCCGCCGGAGCAGGCGCCGGCGCGCGGCGCCGGGGCGCGCAGCGCGCGGCGCGGCTCGCGGCAGGAGGAGCGGCAGCGGCAGAACGTCACGGTGAGTCGCTTCGGTGAAAGGATGGGCCCTTGGGGGAATGAGATGGGGGAATGATGGGGGAATGATGGGGATATGGGGATTAAGCTGATTTGTCCAACACAAATAAGGGACTGGAATGGACTTAAGTACCAAAAATTGTGGATTTGACTTTGACTAACAGACTAACAAATCTTTGGGGATTGAAACAAGGAAACACAGGGATTGAAGGAACAAAGATTGGGATTTAAGCAACTGAGGGTGGATTTGACTCATTTGACCACGTCTAGTTTTGTCATATCGCCGCACATCAACGTGGGTTGGGTTGGGAGGTGATTTTCTGAAGACAATTCTACTTTTCCCATTGATCGAGCTAAATTTAAAAGTTTTAAACTGTTGCATGCACAAACATGTGTTTCTGAGGGTCGTTTAGGTTGAAGGAGTGACTGTATAGCTACTCGTAACTGCAAGCAATCTTTGGCTGAAGCAGCCGGGCTAATTTTTTGGAAATGCGTTCCATTCCGGCGTTTTTATCATCGAATCATCTCTACGTTGTTGTTGGATAGGGATTGTAGTTGGATAGGGATCAATCGCCATCTATGTCGTTGCATCCTGAGGCATGATGTTCCGCGAGCAACTAGAACGCCTGGTGGAGGATCTTAACAAGACTAACCCACGCTGCTGGTCTCATCAAGTCGTTGGGGGGAACAGGACCTGTAGGACCTGTAGGACCTGTAGGACCTGTAGCTATCTTGGGGGCACCAGCCCAGCTGCTTTTCCAGGCTATGTCCGTTGCATCAAGCCCAATGGCAACAAACGGCCCAACGAGTTGGATTCCCTGGACGTGCTGCGACAGCTGCGCTGTGCCGGGATGTTGGAATCCATCCGCGGCTTGGCTTAAGCCTTTAAATGGATAGAGATGGCAACTCACCAGCAATGAGCAAAGATAGGGATGGCTTCAAATCTATTATCTATAAATGGACGTTTTCATGGGAAAATGCACTAAACAAGATTAAACAAGGGAAATTTTCCATTAATACTGGAGGGTATTAGTTCTAATCGGGTTGGGTCATCTTGTGATATGTCCATCTCATTCCATCTCAACACATCCCAACATGTTCAACTTGTTTGTATCTATTAAGTTATTCTGGAAAATCAAGACTAGAGATTTGGTACCCTAACTCAGCATTTTACTGAATGTTGGGCCTCGGTTTAGGGCCCATCTGAAAGCCACTACAGTAATGCGCCTGCCCCTGCCTGTCAATGAGAGATATTCATCATTATTCATCCACAGCAACAAGATATTTACCTTGTACCATCCTTGTACCCTCCTGTACCAATGGATCAGTGAAAGGGCACCAGGATCCCCAACTCATCATTCCAACAGGGCCACGGCCTCACGGCCGCGCCAGGTATCCGTCGCGCAGGCTACGCGGTGCGGCGACCCTTCAAGGAATTCTTCGCGCGGTTCCGCATTCTGGCGCCAAACTTGGTGCCAGGGCCGGATCCGGACTACAGGAGAACCGAGGGCAACCAGGGTGGTATGGGTCTTGTCTGAAAAAGATGGGAAAACATGGGACAACTTTAAAATCTGGCTGTTTTGAACATCGTTTTCACATGTTTTCACCATTCAATAGTCATTTGATGTTATTTGAGGCTATAATTCGCACATTTTCAGACATACCCATACGTGTGTGAACTCATGGAGTAGTTTTCATTGCTGATAAGTATAGTATCGTCAATTGATTTTGGGACCTGACACCATCCGGAGAGGAAAAAGTACCATTCGCAGACGACAGACAGGGTTAGAATGATTAGAAGTATTGGTCAAACATTCCGAAGATTTACAATCAGATATTCTCGCAGTAAACTTAGCACTGTTGACTCCAACAATGTTTGGTAATTTGCATGGCAGTTTCGGCATTTGTGGGACCCTGAGTCGTCGGACAGGAGTCTATGTCAACGCTTGGTGCTTGAAGTAGAAGAGAGACTTGGGGACGCAGCCAAACAGCAGAAGCTTTGGTGTCCCGGCAAAACATAGATGCATTTGTTCTGGAAAGAGTTTAGAGTTCGCATCCAGGATGAACAGAGGACACTGGAAAATTGGTAATTACTGTAGATGTATACTAGGTCAGGATGACTTAGGCCTCTGCGGACGAACCAGAAAATTGAATTTCCTAACTCATGTAAAAATTGTTTTTTGGATCGAAAAAATGTATGTAAGTCCTAACTCAGGAGGGGTTTTAGTGCATTTTAAACCAAAAAAACATGAAAATCAGTATTAAATTTTGTATGTTTTGAGCAGTGTCCCTCTGTGAGATAGGAGTTGCCAGGGTAACTCCTAACTCAAGTGGCTATCGCAGCACTGGAGCGTCCTAAGCCTATACCCCGCTGGGCTGCTTCTTTTTTGGACTGCCTTAAACACTTGCACCAACCCCGAAGAAAGCAGGAAAAAAGAGGGTATAGAGAAGAGAGAGAGAGAGAGAAGAGGCAGATGAGTTAGGACTTATGGAGCTCAAGGCTAAGCTTATACCCCGCTGGGCTGCTTCTATATTGGATTGCCTTAAACACTTGCACCAACCGCGAAGAAAGCGGGAAAAGAGATGGTAGAGAGAGAGAGAGAGACGAGGCAGATGAGTTAGGACTTATGGAGCTCAAGGCTAGTGTTTGAGGCAGTCAATACAAAACTCGGTGAGTATTACCGATGCACATGAGATAGGAAGCAGCCTGATCAATTTCAAGAGTTTGTCCTAACTCATGTGTCCTTGCGCAAGGTTTGCTAGAAAAAAATCTAGGCTTGTGCAATTAGAGATAGGAACTAAGGAAGTTAATTTCAAGCTCTTTTCCTAACTCATGTAGTCTGCTCTATCATGGCGTTCCCTGCTTTTGAAGTTCGCATGATGCGTGACTTGAGGCTCTTTGTGGATGTTAGGAAAAAACATGAGATAGGACCTAGAGGCGTATGTGACTCCTATCACATCTCTGCTGGAACCATTAAAAAAATATAACTTGAGCCTCGGCAGCACAAGAGTTAGGAGCCCGCCCCAGGGATAACCCAACTGTCTGGAACAGCTAAATCCTAACTCACCAGGACCTAGTATAATTGGTACAGTCAGCAACGGAGGAGAGGGGTGAAGGTTGCTGATTGTAGGATAACCATGAATAACCACTGTGTGCTGTCAATGATCAAAGATTGATAAGTCTGGATGTGAAGATTAGTATTATCCGGGGCCGTTTTTGAAACCTACCCAAGCATCAACCACTGAGGCAATTGGGACAGTCCCGAGTCTTCATGAAGGACAGGGAAGGGGGTTGATATCTTCCAGGACTCCTAGGACTCGTTCGTGTATAATTTTGGGAATGATGACTCTGTGACTGATGCTCCTACGTTTGTTTAACAAATAGTGTTCCGTAAAATCCAACGGAATACTGTATCATTATTTTCCTGTTAAAAACAACAATTTTTGGGGTATGCCGAATGTTTTAAACACACACACACACACATCGAGAGAACTTCCATGTTTTGGGCTTCAGTTTTCTCCATGACATGTAGTTTTTGCAGTGAAGGAAGACTTGGAACGAAAGATGGAGCAGATGATCGTTGAATCTGCGAAGAGGCAAGTACTCCCATCCTGCTGATATCAGAGCATCCCATCCATCCCTGATGTACTGTTTCCACTGAGATGATTTGTAACTTGTTCGTGACTAACTAAGTTATAACATGTTATAACCTCTTTCAGTGATTGACAACGGGTTTTCAGTTATGACTCTTATGACCTACAACCTCCAAAACGATAACTGGGATACATCGGATAAAAAGGAATACCCCAGTTATGGAACCAAGAAATACAGACTATTCTAGTTCAGGATATTTTATTCTTCAATTTCGAACCATCAATTTTCCCAGGCAGGAATATATCCCCAACAAAATCCCTGTTGTTGTTGGTTAAACCGTTAAACCTCAGTTTTTCCATTATTATCTGATGAGTTGTCATCTTAGATCCCAGGCAGGTGCAGACCATCCAGCGCTGTTGGCGCGGCTTCGTGGGCCGCCGCTACTTCGTGCAGGTGCGCCGAGCCGCCATGACCTTCCAGGCGCGGGTACCCCATTTATCATCCATTTATAGATGGGATTGTCCATTATAAACCATCCAGCTATTGGGGTATCCCCATGACTTAGGAACCCCCATATTATGATGTTTCCATGTTGTTTCTGTTATAGATGGTTTTTCTATAGGTTATCATTCAAACCCAATGAACTCCCATTGACCCCGATATTTTTTGGATTTGAATTGGCATGGAGGCCACTTTCCGCACCCTGCAGCAGCGAGAAGCCTTCCTGCGCCAGCGGCATGCGGCACTGCAAATACAGGAGCGGTCACGGGGTACCAACATGTACCAACCAAATATGGGTACATCCTAGGACCTAGGACCTAGGATATATAGGATGGTATGATGATGAGAATGATACTGGCTGATTGTTTCAGATTTTTTGACTTTGCCGGCGCCATATGTGAGTTGACAAAGCCTAAGTGGCAGATACCCTTGGGATGAAACCATCAATCAGCCATTGCTGTGACTGTTTGACGATCCTGACAGTCCGCAGAGGCTGTCAGGATGATCGTTCCTCTCCACAAGATGCAGCAACCACATGCTAGGTATGGAAGGTTGCTTTTGCCAAATTTTGCCAAAAGATCAAAGGATGTTTTGTTTGAAGAAACACAATGCTGAGTCAATTATCCTCCAACTTGCAGGACTAGGTACGAATTATTATTAAAGGGCTACGCCCTCTGCCGCCGACCCCTGGACACTGGAGGGTCATGCCTGCCTCTGTGTCGTAAGCATGAAATGAACCCTAAAGAAACCAGAAACTGACCTAAACAAACCATTTGTATGTGCGTTTGGCACTGTGCACATGCAAGCAGCATGGACCCCTGCAGGATGACACGCACAACTATGTGTTCTGACACTTTTTCATGGCTCAAGAAATAGGAGCTTTCGTCATTGGGCAGGTGTCTTGGGGACCTAAAGGGTTGCTCTAGCACTTAAGACCCATACCCGAAGCCCCCGTTCGTAACCGCAGTATGAAACTTGAAATGGCATCCTAAAGAGACCCGAGACGACACTGCACTGCCAACTGCCACCCTGCTCGTGTCCTCCTTGGGCCGGCTTTCGTTCTGCACAGCTTCGGTCCAAGCTGGAGTCCAAGGACCGTGTCGCAGGGCTAAAACACCATGGCAGTGAAGGACGGATTGGGCCCGCGGCCCGTATCCTAGACTGCCAAACGTCACTTTCTGAACCGACTAGAAACTAGCTCCAAACCATTCCAACCCTTGACTTTTCCTGCGTTTCTGCACTGCCAACTGCCACCCTGCTCGTGTCCTCCTGGAGCCGGCTTTCGTTCTGCGGCTCCAAACCTTGACTTTACCTGCGTTTCTGCCCTGCCAACTGCCACCCTGCTCGTGTCCTCCTGGAGCCGGCTTTCGTTCTGCACCGCTTCGGTCTAAGCTGGAGTCCAAGGACCGTGTCGCAGGGCTAAAACACCATGGCAGTGAAGGACGGATTGGGCCCGCGGCCCATATCCCAGACTGCCAAACGTCACTTTCTGAACTGACTAGAAACTAGCTCCAAACCTTGACTTTTCCTGCGTTTCTGCACTGCCAACTGCCACCCTGCTCGTGTCCTCCTGGAGCCGGCTTTCGTTCTGCACCGCTTCGGTCCAAGCTGGAGTCCAAGGACCGTGTCGCAGGGCTAAAAACACCATGGCAGTGAAGGACCCCAGACTGCCAAACGTCACTTTCTGAACCGACTAGAAACTAGCTCCAAACCTTGACTTTTCCTGCGTTTCTGCATTGCCAACTGCCACCCTGCTCGTGTCCTCCTGGAGCCGGCTTTCGTTCTGCACCGCTTCGGTCCAGTCCAAGCTGGAGTCCAAGGACCGCGTCGCAGGGCTAAAACACCATGGCAGTGAAGGACGGATTGGGCCCGCGGCCCGTATCCCAGACTGCCAAACGTCACTTTCTGAACCGACTAGAAACTAGCTCCAAACCTTGACTTTTCCGGCGTTTCTGCATTGCCAACTGCCACCCTGCTCGTGTCCTCCTGGAGCCGGCTTTCGTTCTGCGGCCCGTAGCCCAGAGTGCCAAACGTTACTTTCTGAACCGGCTAGAAACTAGCTCCAAACCTTGACTTTACCTGCGTTTCTGCACTGCCAACTGCCACCCTGCTCGTGTCCTCCTGGCGCCGGCTTTCGTTCTGCACCGCTTCGGTCCAAGCTGGAGTCCAAGGACCGTGTCGCATGGCTAAAACACCATGGCAGTGAAGGACGGATTGGGCCCGCGGCCCGTATCCCAGACTGCCAAACGTCACTTTCTGAACCGACTAGAAACTAGCTCCAAACCTTGACTTTTCCTGCGTTTCTGCACTGCCAACTGCCACCCTGCTCGTGTCCTCCTGGAGCCGGCCTTCGTTCTGCAACGCCTCGGTCCAAGCTGGAGTCCAAGGACCGTGTCGCAGGGCTAAAACACCATGGCAGTGAAGGACGGATTGGGCCCGCGGCCCGTATCCCAGACTGCCAAACGTCACTTTCTGAACCGACTAGAAACTAGCTCCAAACCTTGACGTTTCCTGCGTTTCTGCACTGCCAACTGCCACCCTGCTCGTGTCCTCCTGGAGCCGGCTTTCGTTCTGCACCGCTTCGGTCCAAGCTGGAGTCCAAGGACCGTGTCGCAGGGCTAAAACACCATGGCAGTGAAGGACGGATTGGGCCCGCGGCCCGTATCCCAGACTGCCAAACGTCACTTTCTGAACCGACTAGAAACTCGCTCCAAACCTTGACTTTTCCTGCGTTTCTGCACTGCCAACTGCCACCCTGCTCGTGTCCTCCTGGAGCCGGCTTTCGTTCTGCACCGCTTCGGTCCAAGCTGGAGTCCAAGGACCGTGTCGCAGGGCTAAAACACCATGGCAGGGAAGGACGGATGGGGCCCGCGGCCCGTATCCCAGACTGCCAAACGTCACTTTCTGAACCGACTAGAAACTAGCTCCAAACCTTGACTTTTCCTGCGTTTCTGCACTGCCAACTGCCAACCTGCTCGTGTCCTCCTGGAGCCGGCTTTCGTTCTGC